CATCCGTTAGTTCGGTGGCCTTTCTGCAGGCAGTTGAAGCAGCATCCCGACTTCTTCAGCATATTGTATTTATCACTCACATTCATCTTCTTAAAGTTTTCGCATTTCCATAGTTCGTGGTTGTTTTTGCATACAGCACACTTCAGTTCATGTTTTGTTTCATTCTTCTGTTCATTTATATTCACTAGCGTGTGGGCCTTCGCCACCGCTTTCGGCTTCACACTTTCCACTTTGTTGCTCGTTTCAATTTTTTCAATAATTCTGCACTGCTCTTGTAGGAACGTCATCGTCGCCGTATAACTGGGCAAAATTCGAGGGGGGCGACACATCTAAATCTCAATTCTAGATGCTCAAAAAATCTCACACTAGCGAATCAATCTTCGAAAAATCATCTTTCAATTCTCGCATCTACTTGCATCGTGCTTCATCTTTTTGCAGGAAATCTTCAAAATCGACATAAATCTTCATTTTATCTTCTCAGCGTGCGTGCAGCTAGCCACAGCAAAACACAATCTTTTCTGCATCGTAGATAGAGTCGTCCCCCTCGGCAAAATTCCCGGTTTCTGACGAGTCTCCCAGGCGACTCTCGTAGCTTTATCCATTCGCGACGAAATCATGTTCACCACCATTTGCTCGCCGAGCCCTTCCAGTTGAAGGTTCAAGTTCTTCAGTGCTTCGATGTTCTTGTTGCACACGTCCAGCAATTTTCGGAGGTTTACCGAGTTGTCCTTTACGATATTCGGCAAATTGAACAAACACTCGATGTGCTTGTCTATGATAAGTCTCTTGTCTTCGAATCTCTCCATGAGGAATCGCCAGGCAGCATCGTAGTCGTTATTGTTAACGATGTCCTGGTCTATGATTCCTGCAACCGGACCAACAAGTGAATTACGGAGATGGTAAAGCTTTATGGCCGGCTCCTCATGTGTGTATCGATCCATGATGGTATTGAACATGGATTTAAACGAAAACCATCGTTCGTACGACCCATCAAAGGTCGGTAACGGCGCTTGAAGTGGAGAGAGGAATGGCAAAGTTGATCCAAATGTCATCGAAGCGGGTGTCATAGCCACAATTTCTTTCTTCGTGTCAGCTTCCTTTGTAGCCTCCTCTGTCAGCATACTCAACCGGATCGACAAGTCGTTGTACATCGTCTCGAATTCGATGTATTTCGCTACCTGGTCGGCTCGTCGCTCTTCAGAAAGGGGCAGGGCATAAATGAGGTTCTGAAAGTCATTATATTCACTGTATGCCTGGTCAACTGTTTTTTGATGCAGCCGAAGATAGTGCAAGTTTCGAATGTTCGTATTCGGTGCATCGTCACTATGTTGAATGGCACTTTTAACACGCGTTAATTTGCCCTTCACTGCCCCTCTCTGATGAGTGAGAGTTCGCAGCTGTTCCTCCTATTTCGTTTGATCCTGTTTCTGCTTTTGTTTGGTTTCGGTGATGTTTACAGCGTAAACTTGACACGGCAAGTTTACTCATTCACGAGCGACGGCCATTTTAAATAGCGCGTCACTGCATTCAACCAGCGGTTCTGATGAATGCTCAATTTCTACGAAATTTCGCGGAAAAGCACTTCGCCACGCGATTTCCACTACTTTTCACGATATCCGGTCATAGAAGGACCAAAAAATGTTCCTTCAATAAACCGAGCGAACTGTATTTTTCGGTTGGATACTCGAAAACGAAAATAAAACGCGTCCGATACTAGCGAGTTCAACAAAAGATATGATTTTTTATTCTCCAAAAGATACATTGGTATTTGTGAGGTTCCAACTTTTACGGTACAGTGTTGGCAGCAATAGTAGGATTCTGTAATGTAGATTTTCTCTCTTAACAACCTCTATGGTAATACTGTAATCAAGCTTGCAAATGCTCATTACAGCTAAAATGCTATTTTTAGTAATTATGATACTATGAGATAGTAAAATGATAGTTTTTATTTGTTAGAAGCAAGAATGTATGGTAAAGTTTGTGTATGACACATAAAACCTGTAAATTTAGCTTTCAGACGGTCCAATAGCTGTACTCGGATAAAAATATACCATTGCTTTTTTTGTAGAACCCATTCGTATACTGTAGACTCTATAAGATACAATACGATATAGTATATTTGAATGACAAGACAGAATGTTTTCGTACTGTAACTACCAAACATAAACAACATGTTCTCATGTAACAACGCTATGAATTGTTTTTCTTATGTTTCAACCTTTCTTAACTTAACAGTGTAGACATGACTGGAACTGGATCATAGGAAATAACGTGACATATTTTACACATTTTATTGTAACAAAAAATACAATTTTGTCGACCTATGATCTGCACCATAGGTCAACAATTCTTATATACATTTTGTTAGAAGCATAGATTCGGACGCATTTCTTAATTGAGTCATTAACATCTATTTACATTAACAAATGTTTTGTTATTGATTTCTGTTCCTATTATCAGCTCTTGTTTTTTTAAACGACTATCTGTTTGAAAATAAAATAAAAATTGGAATTTGAAAAGAGGATGCACTGAATAATTCCATACATAATTTCACCTTTCACATTCATAGTAAATATTGCATCATCAGATTTTTTAAAAGGCGATTTTTTTCCGGTTTGAACGTATATCTGTTCTGAATCAAAATATTTCGCTCTTCGAATAGTTGTTGTGGAACTTGTTCCAATAGTATACTCATACTCATGTCATGATTTATAATATTGATATTTTCATTTATACACTTACTTTTTTGCTTATAATTATTAAAGGATTCACAAATTGTCTCGCTTCTTTATTTTGAATTAAGTTAAGATCAATACTATTTTTCTTTTGCACTAAGATACACCGAATTACAATTTGGATAACAGTTTGTTTTGAACCTTTTATGAATTGTTTCAAAACTCCATTCATATCTTGAAAATAAAAAAGTGAAAATGCGAGTGAATCTATCTGAATGTGTGAATAATCTTTCGCTCTCTGCAATTTGCTTAAGCTACATTAGCTCATCCAACGCGAATCAATAAGGGCATCGCAAAAAAAAAATCGCAAATCTGAAAAAGGAAGCAAGATACGCGGCGGCACGCAAAGTTATTCAAGATGTCGATCAGGATGCTTATGCTACAGCAAGAGATGTAGCCAACTGATTTGAAGTTACCATGGCTAGAGATAGGAGAAATCGTATCTCGGAAACCACATATGTACGAATTGCTTTACATCAATTTAGCAGATTTTCTGTGACGATGCTTTGCTTTACTAACATCTACTAAATGTTTTCATTTTTTATTGAATTGTTACAACATATGTTTTATGTTCTTGATTTTTTTTTTCTTTTTTATTTTTTTAAGCAACACCTTTTAACGATATAAAATAAAACAATATTCATTCGAGAACAGATTTTGTTATTCTATTTACATTAAACTGCCTAAATGTAATAAGCAACATATTTTACCGTCGTTGTATTGTAGAACAATACAAAATTGAATAATGAAACTATTAGCCCGTTCAATAAAGAGAAGTAAAGCGTGGGTTGTGCTCAGTAGGACGGACATTATATCAAAAACCCTACTAAGAAAAAGACGTGTAAATTTCGGTTTCGTGAGACCGACACATGTAAGCGGTCCTCTTGACATACAAAATAAGTTAAAAGAAACGAGAAAATCAATGGGTCAATTGGATCATTGATCCATTGATTTTCTCGTTCGTTATGAAGTTCAATTGATCAAATTAGATGATCAAGTTTCGAACCCACCACAGCATGCTTTTGGCGCTACTGTATATGGACGATCAAATGTAAAATACTGGGGTAGCCACAGCACAGTTCTGTCTAAACCTCTGCTTTTTCATTGATCCATTCCTTTCAAACGCATTGAAACGCCAATGGATTTTCTTCGTCCTACGGATGAAGGTAGAAAAAGCGAGTGCGCTAGGAGCGCTTCCTTTGATTTGAGAACAATGAGTGTAAATATTCACACAATACGCTCTACTAGGCTTTGTGTTGTAGCTTGTGAACTAACGCATCGGTACAAACGTATTACTGATTTGTGCACGGTGAAATCATTGATTATACTGATGTTATCTGCTTGTTAGAACGGAAATGGACGATTACAACGAAGTAGTGCTCTACTCTACACAGAAAAAAAGTTGTTGAATATTACATCCAAACTGCTGCAACCAGGTCAATCCATCGGTTGTGTAATATTACTTTGTACGATGTACATCGATTTTGCGAACAAAATTACATCCATTGATGTAATATTGTATCTCCTTTTTGCTATTGCGTCATTATTTCATACATCAGCTTGAATTACATTGATCGATATTAGATTTTTTTTTTTGCTGTGTATGTACGAAACAATTGGATTTATAAAACAATAAATTCCAAAAATAATTTTATGCTTCACAAATATGTTATGCGAGAAGTACGATCACCTCGTATGGTGATCTTTCCTCTAGTTCCCCTGCGATGCTCATGTGATACGAAATTCCGCGGCAATGACCCGTTCCCATCAATAGTCCAAAACCACTTTCTTTAGCAAATCCTCAAATTCAGTATAACCCGGCTGTCCTACGATTGGAATCGCATATGAAGAATTTTATTCATTTTTGACTTTTCAGACTGCTACTAAAAACTAGATGAATGGATCGATCGAATATGCTAAAATTGCCATCTATAGAAACAAGTGTGACTTGATTTACTCATCCATACACGCATCCAGGTGACAAGCCCACATTGGAGTGTGTGGCAATACGACCATCTTATTCAAAAACTGAAGCTGATCCCCAAATTGGAGGCTGGGATCCCCCTGCTTCGGATGCTACCTTTGATGGCAACCGGTTTTAGATAATCCATTCTGTGAACCACCGGGGAAAAACATTTTGTCAAGTTTGCAGTTTTCGATGCCTGAATTGTGAATAAATGAGTTTTCATTTCATTGTGCTTAAACCTTGTGATTTTAGTTTTCAAACATAGTTACTAGTAGGCGAGTTTTAGGTTCGACACTTACCTTGAATAATAGCCATTCCTCCTTTAATGTCAATGCGTTGATGGCAGCTACGCATGCAACCAAAAACACAAACAACTTCATTGTGCAGTTAGTTGCCTTTTGGTTGTGTTAAGCTGAAAGATAAAACATCAAATTATAGGTGCATCTTCTCTACAGATAAATGAGTTCTGAATAAGTTCAGATATTTTTACTGAGTACACGGCCAATGAGATCAATCCAAATTTTAGTTTAGTTTACTCATAATCGAAAAAGTGCAGGAACTCAGCGATGAGTAAATATGTCTCATGTTTTCATGTGGAAAACCTAAAAAATCTGCCGGAAAACGAGGAAAATTTACAAAAAAATTCTATTCAGTCTAGGAGCAGTAGTACCAGTAGACTGAGAGAATCCAATCGTTACTTTTTTCATATTCGGGATATTTTTCTGAAGCAAATTTACTCATCGCTGAGTTCCTGCACTTTTTGCGATTTATGAGAAAACTAAACTAAAATTTGGGTTGATCTGATTGGTCGTGTAGGAGATAAGAGTGCGAGATCAAATTACTTGTGCTACCATTCTTCAAACAATTATTATTCAATCTCCAAAGTATTCGTGGTAATCAATGTTACTCATTACATAAGCTCACATTAATTTTATTAAAGTGTTTGGAAAATCATTCGACAATCACACTGCAGGATTTGTATATCTGGTGATTAATTACATATTTAACAAGTCTTTTATTAAAACTTCTTCATTTTTTTCGTTTGATTGAACTAATGACTTAGAAAAAAAAATCGCCAATCATCAGTACTGCGGCAGGATGTTTTTTTTTATAAAACCCTTATCATCGAAAGCTTGAAAGCCATGAATATATTTTTTACCAAAAACAAATCAATATGTTTCATACTTTAAGAATATCTTAAAACAGCCTTTTTAATAAATTACTATTGTTTTTAACAGAAACTTAACAAAGGGTACCTTATGAACACTACTAACAGCCCTGAGCCTTCCGAGTTTTCAAATTCAGAACCAATTACCACCTCAAATTGCACAAGCTACTTGAACTCTACTTGGCTGTGTTCCATTTGGTGGATTTTAACTTAAAATTGACACTTCAAAAATAAATTAACATGTTCGAAAATCTCTCTGTTGTTGATTGACGGATTTTCAACCTGGTGTTTTTCAAAATCAATTACACTCTATTCCATCTAGTTAATTTCGGTAAACTGCTCTTCTAATGTGTATTCATCTATTCGAACCCACTATTTCCATATTCACAATGCTTTTTCACTATACTTACAAGCAATCAGCTCGGTATCGACGAGAAATCGTTCCACTCCAATCGGTCGATCGACTTAAAATGAAGCGAAAATCTACGGTCCAACGCTGGAAAGATTCTGAGGACAACTGGACGTGCTTTTAGCTTTATATACCCCAAGCAAATGCGTGCCGAGCCAACTAAAAACCACCGGAAATTTCTGTATGCCACGAGGTTGAAGTTTAAAATTTAATTTTGCAAACTAGACTCTACGCAATGTTAGCAGAAATCCTGTTGGATTCAAGGAGGGAGTAGTAGGTACATTTTATTCATGAGAGATCTCTGTAAATTAACTATCGCTTCAGTAGAGTATTTCCACGATGATGCGTTGTAGGGGAAGACGGGGTAAGGATTCTATAACATTCGCCCGAATTGACGGTTCTCCTGAATGGACCATTTTTCAATAAGGTAATTTGGTAATTATTGCACGCCATGACACACCATGCACACATGACCATGACGTTTACCGATCATGGTGACATACTAATCAGTGGTCAATTGTTGAATTATAAGACATGTGTTTTTTTATACTCTATTTATTAGAAATATTATGATGAAACATGTTTTAAATATTTTTGAGATTGTGCATATGATTTCAGTTGTAAAATAACCTATTACTAGCTCAAAGTTATATAAAATTTTGTAATCTTTACAGGAAACTGTTGGTTATTTTTTTATCTAACGCTTAATTGCAATACATCTATCAACCATGTAAAAAATACAAAAAAATATAAATGTACAATAATTGGATCACAGTTCGACTCTTGGTCCTGGATTATTGTCTATGGGGATAACGCCTTAAGGTATGCAACGTTTCATTTAAAATAGCTGCTGCGTAGATTTTTCTTCTGTGGTTGATTGATTCGATAAAATCAATAAAATAACTAATATTTCATTTTCATTTTCATTTTCATTTTCAAGCACAGAAGGGGGTCATAGGGCCAAGTCACCAGCGAAAAATCGCTGTCCATACTGCACCAGGGTAGAGGTATAGATTTGGCATCACAGAATAATAACCACAGGGGTCAAATGAATCTTGTTTACGATACCGGATAGTAAGGAAAGCTGTTGAACATAGGGGATAGTCAGAGTAACAGCAATAATAGTGAAAGTTAGGAAAATAAGCAGGTAGAGATGGTTGATTTGCAATGGCTATCGACTCTGTTATATGGCCTACCGTATCAGATTCAAATTTAATGTCGTTTAATATTGCGCTTATTACTTTTATTTGTATTTGTATTTATTTAATCTTCGATATATAAAAACATCGTACAGACAAAAATAACTTATCTACTAATTCTAAGCTTAAACACAGTTTTAGTCATACCAAAATCAAACATATTGGAAACCTAGTTGAAACGATTACAGCAGACATCCAGAGGGTTGTTCATTCCATAGTCAGTACGGTGATTCGATCGGCGGAAGAACTCCGGTTGCCGCGTCACCCGAAACGGTGTGTTAAAGCGGAGTTTCTCAAGTATGTCTGCACAGTCGATATGGTCTGTCAGGACATCAAAGATGAGCATGCGTTGAAGGAATACTCGTCTGCTTGATAGTGTTGGTAGATCAATCAACATGCAACGGCTTTCATATGATGGCAGGTTCGTTCTATCTCTCCAGTGAAGGCCTCGAAGAGCATATCGAACAAAGTTCTTTTGAATTCGTTCAATCCGATTGATGTGAACTGCATGGTACGGGGCCCAGACTTGCACCCCATATTCTAAAACACTGCGTACAAATGAGCAATACAGCGTCTTTAGACTGTACACATCTTCAAAGAATTTCGTGTTACGCTTCAAAAATCCCAGCAGAGAATACGCTTTGGCTGTTACTGAAGCGATGTGTTCGACAAACCTTAGTTTGCTGTCAACGAGAATCCCCAAATCCTTAACGGTGCTCGTACGTTTCAAGCAACAAGTTTCCATTCTGTACTCGAAAGCAATCGGTGTACGTGAACGACTGAATGTAATCACGCAACATTTCTTGATATTGGCTTCCATTCCATTCAAACTGCACCATTCCAGAAGTCCGTCGATATCCGTTTGAAGCGCACAGCAGTCTACCAGCGACGTGATTACTCGGTAAAACTTGAGGTCGTCAGCATACAAGGATTTTGAAGATTTTATCTTCATGCAGAGGTCGTTAATGAACAAAACAAACAGCAAAGGTCCCAAGATACTGCCTTGAGGCACTCCGGAATGAACCTGGAATGGAACAGAGTAGGACTCACCGACTTTCACCGAAGAACTGCGCCCTGTGAGATAAGACAGAATCCATTGTGTCAGCCACTCAGGAAGTCCTATCCTTTTGAACTTTTCAACTGCAAGGATGTGTGGCACCTTATCAAAAGCTTTGGCAAAGTCCACGTATACAGCGTCGACTTGCTGTCGTTTTTCCATCCTATTCACAAGAGTCGATACATAGCTTAGCAGGTTCGTTGTGGTCGAGCGGTTTTTCATGAAACCGTGTTGTTCAGTAGAGATTATACATTTGGTAGACTGGTACAGCACATCATGCACCAAGCTCTCGAAGATCTTCGGCAGACAGCTGAGAATGGAGATCCCACGATAATTCTCTACATCGTTGAGCGAACCAGATTTATGAATTGGTGTGATTGAAGCAGATTTCCAAATCGTAGGAAAGCACTTCTCGTTAAGTGAACGGTTGAACAAAATGCTTGCAGGTAACGCTAGAGAATTCGCACAATGTTTAACGACAAATGGAGGCAATTGGTCAGGCCCAGCGCCTTTTGAACCGTCGATTGATTGCAACTTGAGCAGTACATCGTTTGGTGAAAAATTCATCCGTGGCACGTTTACATCATACTGCGGAATACTGTCCAGGTACGTTACAGACAAAGGTGGTGAGTTATTACTTGACACACTTTGAAAGTAAGACGAGAACATATTCGCTGATTCCTGCTGCGTAGTGGTAGTCATTCCTTGGTAGCGCATGTTCTGAGGAATCCCTTTCGTCGATTTTCGGTCGTTAACGTAATTCCAGAATGATTTCGGGTCCGCTTTCACGTTGTCCTCGATGCGATGAATGTAGTCGCGAAAACATCTTGCGTTTAAAGAGTTGTATTGAGCCTCTGTATCACGCATTTCAGTTTTTCGTGACTCACTTCTGCGTTTAAAGTATCGTTTCCTAGATTTACGAAGACGATTCCGAAGGTGCCGAAGGTCCGCGTTCCACCATGGCTGGTTTTTGTGAAGTTTCCGTCTGCGTTTTCTCATCGGTACACTAGTTCGGATGATTCCAAAAAGCTCACCGTAAAAACGAACAGCTGCTTCGTCCACTGAATCTGTTCTTAATAATTGTTCCCAGTCAACTTGCTGAATTTTCCCATTCAACACCGTGAAGTCAAAGCGATGAAAATCAAAGCATTCAGACTCCTCTTCGACAAAATTGTTCTCAACATCCAGTTTTAAAACGATCGGTTTGTGATGTCTGTCCATTTGCAACAGCGGTAAGGGTGGTTCAAACATATCTGCACAAGCTGAACTGTTGGTAAAAACCAAGTCGAGTAGCCTATCGTTGTCATTAACGAAATGGTTCCGCTGCTGCAGTCCTGTAGGCAACATAGATTCAACCAATGCTAATTCAGACTCCGTGGACGCATTTATCGGCAAGAAGCAGTTCATGTCCTCGTCATATTGCCAGCATAAGCCTGGCAGATTCGATTTAGGTTAGCGACTGAAAGTCAATTTTTAAATGTTATATGCGACAGTTAGAAGATACTGAGAGGTTAGCACATATCATCGGCAAGAGACGTGCGTGTGAGAAAAAAAAAATTTGCGAAAAAATCCAA